TGATGTAATTCAGATATTACAAATGATATTCAGACAGTAGCAATTGATATTCAGAAATTACAAATAGTATTCAGACAGTAACAATTGTAATTCAGAATATGTCAATTGAAATTCAGAAATTAACAAATGATAACATTTTCATACTTCATTTTACTTATTTTCTAAAATCTCAATTTAATGTAGGTATTTCTTTGTATACATATATGTATATTGCTTTGTTTCCATGGAATTGACAATGGTAAACAAATTTATCACCATTTAAGTAGGTATATTTGTCATAATTGTCAACTTATTGCAAGTAAGGACCGAATTTTCTTCATTTGTACTTTATATAAATTTCATTTATTTAGTTAATAAAGATAACGTGTACTTTCATTCATCATCGATTTACTGTATGCAACCCACTGTTCCTGAAACAATGGGGTAGTTAAATTTTTTCTGACCTATACTTTTTATGGTTTTATTCAAGGCGTTTTGTAATATTAAACATTTCTGTGAAATCAGAATTTCAATTAAGTTTACCGTTTTCGAGATATTTACAAAAAATATAAATTTTTATGACGTCACAAACCCCGTCATGTGACCAACATTCTAAGATTTCTATTGGTTGAAAATTACCCTGTTGTCAAGTTGTCTTGTGAATGATTTCATTCGGTTATGTCAGAAAATACCCGAAGAGGTTATGTACAAATACTGTCACTGTCAGTTGAGTGAAAGAAGAAGAAGAGAAGGTTAAAGAAAATTCTGAAATTAAAAGTTTTATTGATAGGTTTACAGTGTAAACTTTACACATTGAAACACCAGTGTAAACTTTACACATTGAAACACCGTGTGAAACATAATAAAATGTAATAAATAGGTACCTAATAACTGTCTAAAGCAGAGTTTAATTTATTTCATAGAAAAAAGTGGCAAAATAAAGCTGAAAATGAATGAAATAAATTTACAAAAAATAATAATATATCTAAAAGAATATAAAGAACTAGGCATTATACCAATGAAATGCATTTACGACAAAGTATGATTATAATTATAGGTACTTACTTTTTTTGTTTAAAAGCTCCAATGTTCAATGTAACCAACCATTCCACAAGATTTCTCTGCTTTGGAGTCCGTTATTAATAAATCACTTATCTAATATCAATTACAAATAACATAACAATAACATTGATTTTCAATAATCTAAATTTAAAAAAAAACAACCCGAAAAAAAGAAACGTCAAAAAATCAATTCTTCTTCTCAACTAAAATATTATAACGTGGCGCCATCTATCGTAAACTAAACACACTGGCAACTATAGAAAAAGCTGGCAACGTTGTCAATAGCCTAGTGACGTAATTAGGAGATTTTGTTTTGTAAATATCTCGAAAACGGTAAACTCAATTGAAATTCCGATTTCACAGAAATGTTTAAAATTACAAAACGCCTTGAATAAAACCATAAAAAGTATAGGTCAGAAAAAATTTAACTACCCCATTGCTGCGGCTGAATTACATTTGATTTAATCTGTAAAACATTTGCTACTTTCTGAATTACAATTGCAAGTTTCTGAAAATCAATTGAGTTATCTGAATTACAATTGTAGTACAGTCATCTTAGTCAAAAAAAGGGATCAACCTCGGAATCTAACGGAATAAGCTGAATTTTTGTGAAAACCTTTATTTTAGCATTACAAATGTTGTCTCAAAAGTCACATATGCCAACGTGTGAGCGGCCTTAGATATTCAAGGTCAAAGGTCGCAAAAATCAGTTTTTAAGAATATCTCGTTTTCTCTGCATCCTATCGTATTTGCATTAATTATAAAAGTTGTAGAAAATAAAATTCTCTACAAATTTTGTTTACAAAATTTTTTTATACGTCGAGGGCGCAGAGTGTGGAGCGCTCAGCCATACGTACCTTTAGCGCAAGGTAAATCGTGAATCCCAATCTATTATACCGTTTTTTTAATTAATTATATAATAAATATTACTAAAATAAAAATTTAATACTCTATACTTATATTTATATTTCTTTTAAATCAAATATATTTTATCTTCATATATAATATATATATATATATATATATATATATATATACATATATATGTATATATTATATATCTTATATTTTAATTTAATTTTAAAGAAGGATAATTGAATCGTTGTAGGAAAAAATGTTTTTATTTATATCAATATTATTATTATTATTATTAATCTTTATCATCTTCATCCTCGTCTTCTTCAGGTTGGCCAGCAATTTCAGACTCATTCTCATCATCACTCTCCTCGTTATCATTGACATTAATTAATTAATCAAAAACTTACTTATAACGCGTTTGTACTTTGCAGATTTTTTTGCCTTTGTTGCCTCATCTGCGACTTCACCACAAAATAAGCACAATATTTTAAAATCAAACACATCATTCCCTTTTTTACGAGGTACAGTTGATGACGTTGAAGGTCCAGTCTCTTCAAGGCGACGTTTTGCTGCTGCAATTTTACTATAGTACGCCAAAGATAATTATCTTTGTAGTTCGCTATAGCGTACAATTTTCGACACTCAATATGAACGTTCACAGAATTCAAAGTATTTAGGTAGTTTATGTTTATTTCTCTCAATAATTGCTTCTTTTAAAGTCTTTATACCGCGCACAAAAGTCACAGAATCACCTTCAGAAAGTAACTTATTATTATACAAATAAAACACAAATCAGCCATGTTAACCTTTAAAATATTACAAATATTACCTGTCACAACACTAGACCTATACCTAGGTACCTAGGGTCACAACTTGCTTTAAAATTTAATATACGTATACCTAACCTTTTTATTTATAGCAAGCCCACTATAGTATTTCCAGGTCTGTTATTTTAAAAGCAATATCTGGATCCAAGAGATGACCAGAGACATATTTAAGGCAAATTCATTTAATGTCTTTTCTTCTTAAAAAGCATTTATCATTAATTAGAATAACATTAGAATATATTTAGAATGATTCACTTCATTATTTAATTATTTGTATCTCAAAAGTAAGTAATATTTAATGACTATTTGTTTTAAAAAAATGTATAAAAATAAATATAAGGTATTAAATTATTATTTAAGTAATATTTAATAAATAATTAATTAAAAAAACGGTATAATAGATTGGGATTCATGATTTACCTTGCGCTAAAGGTACGTATGGCTGAGCGCTCCACACTCTGCGCCCTCTATCTCAAAAACGATTGGACGTATAAAAAAATGTTTTAAACAAAATTTGTAGAGAATTTTATTCTCTACAACTTGTATAATAAATGCAAATACGATAGGAGGCAGAGAAAAGGAGATATTCTCAAAAAATTGATTTTTGCGACCTTTGACCTTGAAGGTCGCTCACACGTTGGCATATGTGACTTTTGAGACAACATTTGCAATGCTAAAATAAAGGTTTGTACAAAAATTCAGCTTATTCCGTTAGATTCCGAGGTGAAATGCCTATATGACTGGACTATTGCTACTTTCTTAAAATCAATTGTGTTATCTGAATTACATATGCTACTCTCTTAAAATCAATTGGAATAGCTGAATTACAATTCCTACTATCTGAATATCAACTGGAATAACTGAATTACAATTCCTACTTTCTGAATATCAACTGGAAAAGGTGTAGACCTCGGTGTAGACTATATGATTCCCAGTACTGGAGGAAGCTTATTTTAATTTTATATGTTTTGTAGAATATCCATAAAATCTTCATATTATATTTAGATTACATACCTACTTTTTGCATAAAAATTATATACCTATCCAATGGTTTTTCAATGGATATCCTGGATATCCATAGAGTATATCCATTGAATAACCATGGCATAACCAGTGCACTGGTTGCAATCAGGTTGGGTAAAATAAAATGTATCTTGTATCTAGGGATCTAGTAGATCCTGATTTTTGTATCTCGATACGTATCTAGATACATAAAATGTATCTAGATCCAGTATCCAGATACCTGTATCTTGATACATTACATCACTGCAAAACCTACCACATAAATGCGTAAAATCTTTAAAATATGAAAATCAATCATGATCATTCATGTCAAATTAACATTGACTAAGTTAAGAAAACACCATTTTGGAGTTTTGGTATTTTACTTCAATATTTATATTTTACTTTTGTAACCTTGAAAAGTAGGTAATTTGATACATTGTGGATACAAATATTAATGTACACAAAACAATTGAAGGGACAAATGGATAAAGGGGTCAACCACACCTGGGTTGGGTTGGGAATAACATAGGAATACTGTTGGTATTAATGGGACCAAATGGGAATACCTGAACGTTTTCCCTTTGGGTAACTGACCCCTTGGGTTAAGTAACATTTTTATAAATAAAGGACAAAAAATATTGTAACTGTACTGTAAAACTACAACATTTATTTTGATTTACAATAACAATATTTTTTGTTTGAAAGTGTCACGCAAGAATACAGAATTTTTTAAATTATAAAATAACAGACAATATTGTGATTGCAAATAAAAATTGGTACCTATTGCAATTACAATATTTTCTGTCCTTTATTATTAAAAATGTTACTTAACCCCTTTATTCACTTGCAGCAAGTGACTTGCCCCTTTAATTAGGTTAGAAAATATGTTAAGAATTCAATAGAATAAACTGTAATATTAATATAAATAAAAACAATAGTGTCTTAACTGTATTAAATAGAATAACATTAACCTGATTAAAGTTTATAAAGTTAAATTAAATATGCATATGTACCTAATAGGTAAAACAAATTTCTTTAAAATTTAGTGATTTTAGACACAGTCTCCCAAAAGATTTTAATGCCAGACCAAGGTTTTAATATTTCTTTACGATTTTGACTAATTCTTAGATAAACTTAAATACAACTACCTAGGTATGTTGATTTTTTAAATACAAATCTACATTGTTTCTAAAAACGTTGTAGTTATAGTGATAAATTAGAAGATTTGTTAATAATAAAGGTAAAATAAAAATGTTCAATATAACTTACCAGAGGAAACTGGAAGTAACATTTCATGTTCGAAAACTTTTTCCATGTTGTCTACAGCCTAACACAGCAATATATCCATAAAAAACACGATTTTCACGAAAATTATAAATCATAACCTAACTTTTCCAAACAGCAGCCACCTACGCCACTTTTACCTACAGGTAAATATTTACTGTAACTTTAGAAAACAAAAGCGCAACACATTTCCAAATTTCCAATTTTTAACAAAAAAACAACAGTTACAAATCACACAAAACAACGACTCGGATACATTCTCGTTACATAAATTACATTTTTCGACGTGCTTTCCCCTCCGCACGACTATTTTTTAACACTTGCAAACTAGTTCTTAAGGAGTGCCTATGTTTTGACACTTGTTACTTGCTTGTCGGCCATATTTCTTTTGCTTGATGACGTCACACGCGACAATCGCTCGCAGCGATTCAAAATAATGTGTTCATAACGCGCGCCTTTATAAAATTAATGTTGTTTTATGTTTTTGTTGCAGATTTTGACATGTTTAGGATACAAATACGGAGAAAATTGCATACTACGTATGAATTGCTTAAGAAACCAACGTCCTCAGAAGTTTTGACGTGCTATATTAAACAATGCAATGAACCGCCTTGGACCTCATATTTTGTTAAAGTATGAGCTCTTAATTTTTTAAACTTAAACTCTATTAAATTGTGTTGGCTTTGTATAACTACCCATCAAATATTAAATAAATGACAACTATAGTTATAATACCTATTATACTTAGGTATTATTTTCGACCAACAAACTACAACTACCTACCTAACTAAATTTAATTAAAATGTGTTTTTGCTGAATTTTTGGTAAAATTTTAGTACAGCGACATAAAAGACGATCAATGGGGCAAATCCCATTTTAATTGGAAAGTGAGAAACTCAAATTATCACATATTAAGAACAGGTTGCTATCCGTACATAAAATATCACTGCAGCAAAAGAGATGAGGCGGATTTAATCATAGAAGATATGTTTTTTAGGTTTATTAAAGTTTTTAATTTGGGTAGGTAAATAGGTATTGATTAGGTATATTATTTCTGTATATGATTTTATTGAATTTTTTTAGGAATACCCTGTTTAGCCTATGGAATAGCCGCTGTGGGTTTAATTTCTCATAGAGAGGATGTTTTGACAGATAAAGGTAAAGTTACCATTTATTTTTTGTATCCTGAGGATAAAGGATCTGAATATTAGCTTAATAAAGGAGTAATTTATTGTATATTTGTATTTTTATTTCAATAAATTTCGTGTTTAGATATACTTACTTACCTGTGGTATATGCGTTTTTCAAATACAGTATTTCAAATTGAAATCCTTAAAATACGTGTGGAAGTATGTGCGTTTTTCATATACTTACCACACGTGTGGTAAGTATATGGCGTTTTTAAACCCTTAACGCCATCTATTTAAATTTACGTCAACTATTCTCAGGACTACCAACTAGTTGGCAACTACCCACTACCAGGACTACCAACTAGTTGGCAACTACCCACTTAACCACCCTGTACTTAACCTAAGTCATAAAGTGAGGTTAGGGTTCTGTGTTGACAAATGGAAAAATTGTTTATTTTTGTGTTTTAACGTAAGTTTTACGCAATATTAACAATATTTAGGTTTATTTTAATTAAGAAATTATTTGCTTATATTTTTGTAGTCCAAATGTATTTTAAAACGAAGAGAATTCAAGGGAGTGTACGTATATTCTGATGGATAGGAAGAGGGACAGGATTTCCTTTTTCCTGTCCCTTCTGGGATCACTGGCAGGGACAAAATTTACTTTCCCTATCCCTGTTAATTCCCTGCAAGGGATCAAATTTACTTTTCCCTGTTTGTGATTTCCCTGGTAGCAAAAATAATGTCCATTCGCTATCCCTCCTAGGAGGCATTGAATTCATTTTTTAATAATTGTTAACTTTTAAAGTATTTTGTTGGGTTGGGTGGGATTGGTTTGTGGTTGTGGTTGTGGTGTGGTAATGCCCAAACGTTTTTATATTAAGGTTTTATAAGTAGCGCATGCAGAACTGTGCTCAGGCACTAACCCAGCCAGTTTGAGCTACTAATAAAACCCTATTGTTAAGTTTTGCTTAATATACACACCCAAAATCCAATACAGTATTTCATAACCTTGCTTTTTATTTTAGGTCATTTATAGAAAAACAAGGGAGTTTTTAAGGTTCCAAAATAATAAACAAATCATGAAGGGTAAGTTGTTACTCCTATTGCATAATATTGTGTTTTTTCATTGTTCATAAATATTTTCATTATAATATTATTATCTGCATTTGCCCAGCCTTATCAATTTATAAGTGTTCTTATGCAAATTCCTTAGGGGACATCCATTAATTACGTGAGATAAAAATAGGGGGGGTCTCATGTTAAGAAAGGGGGGGATTATTAAAAATCTCACGTCAACTTTTGGGTTTAAAGAATATGTACTATATATAATTCAAATTTGTAAAAAAAAGTAATCAATTTTTATTTTTTTGGGTTTATCATGTTGTCTGCAAAGAAAGTTTAATGGCTAGAATATCACGTGAGGGATAGGGGGGGTCTACCACATCTCACCAAATCTCACCAAGGGGGAGGGAGGGGTCCAAATTATTAGAAAAATGCCTCACGTAATTAATGGATGTCCCCTTATAAAAGATTTGTTTTTGAATTATTTAAATTTTGTAATTTGAACTGCAAAAGTTTTGATCATTTTCAATATGAGAATGGTCAAAATTTTTCCATTTGAAAACTTGACAAATTTTTTAATATAAAAAGATGACAAAACTAATATTTTAATTATTGTTGTTTTAAGAAATTTTAATTTCAATAACTTAAAAATTATGATATAATATATTATGTAGGTATATGGTGAACAGTAACCACTCGGGAAATTATCCCCTCCCTGAAAGAAATACTCCATGACGCAAAGTGTCCCCCAACGTGCAATAGGTCACCTAAATAAATACCCTATCCCCATTAAATCAACTTTTGCTACATAGCTAGATGTATAGAAAAACTAGCTCTTGAAAACGTGAACAATTAGTATTAGTATAAAAGTGTACTTTTACTAATTGTTCAAGTAAATGTATACACTATCTAGTTTTTGTATGCATCTACTAAATTGTATACTTTGATGAGTATGAGTATGAGTATAAGAGACGTATAACCAGCCCCATTTCCTCTTGACTCTCGAACCCCGTACAGGCCTATGTTTACTTACGCCGATTTTTGTTCTTCCCCAGCAACTGCCCCTATTTGGGGCTCGAGAGCGAGAGGCGAATAGTTTTAATAGCCATTCTCGGGTTCGCCGAGCCTATGCTATACGCTCAGTGGGGTATGGAGGAGGGACTTAAAACTAAGTACGACGCGGAATCCCCCTAGACCAGTCGATTAGTATTACTCCAAACATTTGGGATTACTATTTGGAGTTGGGGAGTTGTTATTTCGCTGCAGGGGTATAGTTTCCTAGTCGCGGTCTTTGTCTTGTTCGTTATTGTCATTGTCCGTGTCCTGGTCAGATAGTTCCTGCACTTGGTAAAGTGTGTCAGTTGTTTTTAATAATTTTGTCCCAAGCATGTTTTGTTGTAGAGTTTTGTCTTTTTTTTCTTAAATTCCAAAATTAAGCCTTGCATTTATTTAAGTTAAACAAGTGGCAAGCGCAATTATTCTGTTGTCTAATGTTTACAAATCTAGTAGAGTTTGGCTATTAGGCTTTTTTTTACTGTGTTAGGATTATAATGAATAATGTGTTTTTGAATTATTTAAATTTTGTAATTTGAACTGCAAAAGTTTTGATCATTTTCAATATGAGAATGGTCAAAATTTTTCCATTTGAAAACTTGACAAATTTTTTAATATAAAAAGATGACAAAACTAATATTTTAATTATTGTTGTTTTAAGAAATTTTAATTTCAATAACTTAAAAATTATGATATAATATATTATGTAGGTATATGGTGAACAGTAACCACTCGGGAAATTATCCCCTCCCTGAAAGAAATACTCCATGACGCAAAGTGTCCCCCAACGTGCAATAGGTCACCTAAATAAATACCCTATCCCCATTAAATCAACTTTTGCTACATAGCTAGATGTATAGAAAAACTAGCTCTTGAAAACGTGAACAATTAGTATTAGTATAAAAGTGTACTTTTACTAATTGTTCAAGTAAATGTATACACTATCTAGTTTTTGTATGCATCTACTAAATTGTATACTTTGATGAGTATGAGTATGAGTATAAGAGACGTATAACCAGCCCCATTTCCTCTTGACTCTCGAACCCCGTACAGGCCTATGTTTACTTACGCCGATTTTTGTTCTTCCCCAGCAACTGCCCCTATTTGGGGCTCGAGAGCGAGAGGCGAATAGTTTTAATAGCCATTCTCGGGTTCGCCGAGCCTATGCTATACGCTCAGTGGGGTATGGAGGAGGGACTTAAAACTAAGTACGACGCGGAATCCCCCTAGACCAGTCGATTAGTATTACTCCAAACATTTGGGATTACTATTTGGAGTTGGGGAGTTGTTATTTCGCTGCAGGGGTATAGTTTCCTAGTCGCGGTCTTTGTCTTGTTCGTTATTGTCATTGTCCGTGTCCTGGTCAGATAGTTCCTGCACTTGGTAAAGTGTGTCAGTTGTTTTTAATAATTTTGTCCCAAGCATGTTTTGTTGTAGAGTTTTGTCTTTTTTTTCTTAAATTCCAAAATTAAGCCTTGCATTTATTTAAGTTAAACAAGTGGCAAGCGCAATTATTCTGTTGTCTAATGTTTACAAATCTAGTAGAGTTTGGCTATTAGGCTTTTTTTTACTGTGTTAGGATTATAATGAATAATGTGTTTATTCTGTGAGTCTAGTGTTTATTTTCGGTTTCGTTTGGGATTGCATTACGCATTTGTTATTGACAGATTTATTGCCCTATGCCGTGTGCCTTTCATAGGTTTTAAAGATATCTGCCGTATTTAAATTGCAGATTTTGTATTAGGTCATGCATATTCTTAAAGTAACTTATCAATTTTTTTGCGGATGGCCACCTCCCCTCTTGTTTGACCTCCTTTGTCTGTCCAGTGAAAAGCGTCCAATGACAGGTGGCACTTAACTCATTCATATCACTTAACACTTCACTCCTCAATTTCCGCTACACCACTCTAGCTTACACTCTATGAAAATTGTTTGTTTCACTTTATTAGTTTGCACTTTTTTAAAATTATTGTTGGTTTTAATCTTTAAACTTTTACGTTGTAAGAGCTTTCCCACACGCGTCGTGCCTTCTCAAGCGCTGGAACCTGACTAAATTGTATACTTTGATTGTTACAATATACAATAACTGATTTTGATATGTAAATCTAAGAAGGTAGTGTCAGAATGTTGGCAGACATTGGCGTAACTAGCCATCTGACCCGGGGGGCCTGGGGTGGGCCTATTTTAGTGACTAGGAATTTTTAAAAAAGTACAACAAATGTTGTCTCCAAAAGGCACAAATACCAATTTTTTTTATCAAACAGTTCTAATATGTTTAATAAAATAACAAGGTAATTTTTAACATACCTAAGAATTAAAAAAAAACTGTAAATAATATATAAAAAACCTTAAGTTGGTATTGGAAAAACCACAAAAAAGTACCGCATGCATTTTATAAAATAAGCATTAAATCAACTTTAATTTCCTATTTGGTTGTGAAAATAATTCCAGAACCCGATCAGCTGTAACATGTTCTTTAACTTAATCTTTTTCGATGTTTATAATGAAAACATTTGCGAATCAAATTGAGTCATTGTAGTTTTGGTCCAATTTTTAATCCGACGCATGGCAGAGAAGCTGCGCTTACAACCAGCGGAACTTATCGGCAAGGAAATAGCAATTTGTAGAGGTTTGGACAAAAGTCTTTTTTAATATGCGTTTTTATTGATTCTTAATTAGTTTCCAGATTTTTTAGAGTAAGCATATATTTTACCACCAATATCTCGGTTTCAAGCATACTCACATTAACACCGGCAATAGAGGAATAATTTTTAATAAATATTAAAATCTAACTGAAATAATGCATCTGCTGCTTGCGCCAATGGTAAATTTGAAAATCTGCATCTAAAATTGGATATTAAGCTATCCATTATTTGGTAGTAAATATATATTTTCCAGTGTTCTGAATGATTCGAATTTGATGATCCTGATGAAATTTCTATATAGATATTTCTATTGCAAATTTGGTAATACCAAAAAATTATAACAGATAAAAGTCAGCCTTTTACTGGGGGGGCAGCAATGTCTGGGGGGTGCCCGGCCCCCCCTAGGCCCCCCTGTAGTTACGCCAATGTTGGCAGATGGTGCAAAGGCAAAAGTTTCTTGGCCACCACACAACCAATTATTTTTATCATAAATTTAATTAAACTATATATATAGTTTAATTAAATTTACGCGATTTTAGTCCACTTCCACTTTGTTTTTAAATCGGGTATTATAATATAATAGGCCGGCCTAATTCTTAAATTTGTAGTTTTTTTTTCGAGCGAAAAACTACCAAAATAATTTTTTAAGATACCAATTTTATTCATTGTCACACTAAAAGTTAATAATTAAAAATTCGCCCACACACAACCACGCTTTTCTATTTATCTTATTACGCAATTAAATAAACCGCGAAAACGTAAAAAAAGTCAAATCAAACGACTGAGCTGAGTCGCTGAGCCTGGCACAATCTTTCCAGAGATAAAGAAGGAATCTTTCCTTTGATTTAAACATTTAACATTTCCGTCCCGCCTTCGCGAAGGCGTACGCGTTCGCAGTCCGGAATAAGCACGGTTGCCAAACTTGTACCCCCCTCCCCCTTGGTGAGATGTGGTAAGATGTGGTCTTAAGACATGACTTTTTTAAAAAACAATTGTTTACCTTCGTCAGAAAATTCTGCATTTTTTTTTATTATGGTAATAATGCTGAATTTTGGCTTAAAACTTCTGATATTTTTCCTGCAATTACGAAATATTGAGTTATTAGGGTTTGATTTGCATTAATATTTTCACCCATAATATAACAAGTGGTATGATTATCTTTGATGATATTTTCGAATTGAAACCAAGCTGCAGATTTTACGAGTCCGCAGGACGAGTGAAATGTGCTGCTTCGGTTTCAATGAGTAAATATCATCGATTATTAATCATAGCACGAGTTATACCTATTTAGTGAGAAAATATAATGAATTTTAGGATTTAACGAAT